GTTCCGTGCCAGATTTTTATCGCCTAAATGAACCAAACCGATAGTAACTAGATTGCCACTAAATCATAAGCAGCGAAATGTGGTAGATACTTGAAAAAGTAAGTATTTTATTTTACTTTTAAAACTACATATATACATTAGACTGCATCACCAAAAAAAAGTTAGAAAATTTATTATATTTTAAGACGCCCAGCAAAATATTTCGTAAAAATATTAAGATTTAAGTGAGCTGGACCGATTTGAAAATACCTCCAAAAATGGAATTTTTTAGGTTAAAAAAAAAATAATTTCTTAAATAATTTTTCGAAAAAATTCCCTTATGATGACAGAACAAATGAAGCTTAAAAAATCTGCATACAAATATTTAAAGATCTTTTCAACGGAATCATAATAATGAGATTTTTGATGCTGTTTTTTTTTTATCTTTTCCAAAGTTTTTTCAAAGATTGATTTAGGAAAATCTTGAATAACTGGGCCGAAACTATTCTGTTTTAAACTTATGTCATCTCAATATAAAGGTATTTCCCACTGTTTTTATTTTTGTCCAAAAAAGTCATTCGTGTCCCAATTTTTATCTGTTTTTTTTTCAAATAGGTTCAGTTAGGTTCAGTTATTCAAGTTTTTCTTATACCAATCTCTGATAAAAGTTAAAAAAAAACAGCATCACAAATCTGATTGTTACGCCTCCGTTAAAAATTTGTTTAATTTTTTTTTTAAATATTTTTATGCAAATTTTTCAAGCTTAAACCGTTTAGTCTTTTGAGGGGACTTTTTTTCAAAAAAATCTTTCATAAAAAACTCCATTTTTGGAGGTATTTTCCGATCGGTCGGTTTGGTGAACGTCTTAAAATATATTAGATTTTATAATTCCAATGGAAAAACAGTACCGATTTTTTTTGTATGGTGAATGATGCAGTCTAATATACATACATACATGCTACCACATAAATATGACAATAATGGCCAACGTTCTACATTGCAAATTTGTGACGCACCCTAATACGCATTTTTCTTCTTCTTCTTCCTATTTGGCACTAAAACTTTTGGCGGTCTATGCCGAGAACAACTGCCACCTTCCTTTGCGATGTTACGCCAGTTTCTCCATATCAAGTGTAGACATGTTCTCCTGCACTTGGTCCTTCAATTGTATTCAAAATGTATGTCTTCTTTGTCCATCCATGGGTGCCGAGTCGAAGGAACTTTTCACCGGAACATCAGTCGTATTTTTATACGCTTAAATAACGGGTGATTTTTTTGAGGTTAGGATTTTCATGCATTAGTATTTG